GTTGTTTCAAAGTTGTATGCTCTTATTTTTCAGTAGAAATAATTGAATAATAATAATTACAGAATAACTTACTTTTTTTTTTTTTTGTGTAGAAAAAATAAAGAATTATAAAAAGAAAAGTCGCAATTGCCTTTAATGTTATATTTCGTGACAGAAATAAGCTTCCATACAAATATGGTAGAGAAGTCTTATATATATGTGTGTGTGTCTGTGTGTCTGCAGGGAGAAGCTGTGTGTGGGTGGTGCGCAGCTGTCTGAGCTGTGTGCGAATCTAGATCACTGTGCTGCTGCTCTGAGCTTTTGGTCCTGATTTACCACCTGACTTTCCATGTTTGGACCCAACCGTCTACTTACTATCTGACCAGACTCCTTTGGACCTCGACCTGGTTTTAATAGCAGAGTCATAATCTGCTGGAACCAAAGGCACACCAACCTACTGATCCTCTGTCCTTGTACCAACCTGCAGCAGAGTCAGTGTGTCAGTCACATGACCCTGACTTATTATGCAAAAGCATCAAGGGCTATTAGTCTATAAAACAGAAGTTAGACTATGTTCTAGTTCTTATGTTGTAGTTCTAAACTTTGATATGTTTTTTAATTGTGTTAAATTATTTGGATTATTTATTCACCTTACTTTATAAGTAATGTGCCCCATTTTGGGAAAACACTGTTTTAGTGATGATTAAAAAATTGTTATAGGTTTGTTGGTGGTTTTGGTGTTTTATACTGAAGAATGTAGAATTAAATTTCTGCTGCAACACTTGAAATGCTCCTGATGTCCAGGAGCTGTTGTGGTAACAGGTTATTATGTGTTCAGAAACAGAAGTATTACTTCATGACACTGTCTCACACGACATTCAGTCCTGCGAGGCTTTCAGTAAGTAGTGAGTGCGACAGTGAGTCATGTGTTAAAAGCCAATTTTCTTGGGTGCCAGTCTAGCTGCCCTTCTGGAAACTATCCTGAAATCCACTCATTTGTTCCATGATTCTAAAAAGGTACATTTCGTCACAAGTGAATTATGACACTTACACTGTTAGGTCTGATAAGCTGCTGTGATTTCTTATTCTTAGTTCTGTCACTGCATATGAAATACCAGCACCAACATGATCCTCAGTCATTTATGACAGATTATTTTTTTATTCATATTCTTTGATTTCATGTGGAATGGTATCTATGCATAAATATTGTTTTAATTGTATTAAAGTGTGAATAGTTCAATTCTATTTTACTTTACATCTATTTGCATTTTGATTAAAATATTTGATCGTCAATGACTTGTCATTCTTTTTTTGTCACATAAAACCCAAGGATGTTAATCTGGGTTTCTGGTTTGTAAAGCAGCACTGTGACATCACAAAATGAGAGGCATTTTGGGATTGTGGGAACAGTGATGATGTCCATTTTGAGATTACTCCAATGCTCAATGACGTTAGCAAGGTAAAGGCTATGCCGGAGTTGTGTAGGTCATTGAGGTCAAAAGACATGATTACAGTATTTAAATTATTTTGCGGTGTTTTTAATTCTTTAACGGTAGGCACTTGTAGATGGACAAGGAAAATCATATATATTTTTTTATTCTAAGTCATAACATAACGAGGCGCGAGTTTATACCGCCAAGTCTTAATTACCCGACAGCAGCTGAGTTGCTCGCAGACCCGTTTTTAAAACCAAAAAGATGACAGACAACTCCTATTTGGGTCTCTGTAAGTTCACCAATCGACATATTTAAACCTGAAACTCTCGCTAGACATGCATATGTGCAGCTTAGAGAGGCTTTCTCGCACTGTATGAGTGACAGACAAGGCCGGAGTTGTCCTCATTCTGTTTTTTTTTTTTACAGTCTATGAGGTCCTCATAAAAAACAAGAAAAAAAATCTTAATGTACGGACGTGAATTTGGTTATAGAATATGTTTGTCACCCAAGTAAATGACCGAACTTTGTGTGAACGTAACCGCATTGAAAGCGGTATTCAGCCGCATTACGTTAGGGGAACGTATGTGTGAAACATTTACATTTAGTCGTTTAGCAGACGCTTTTATCCAAAGCGACTTACAGATGAGGACAATAAAAGCAGTCAAAACTAACAAAAGAGCAACAATAAATAAGTGCAAATGACAAGTCTCGGTTGGCCTAACGCAGTACACATAGCAAGGTGTCTGTATATATATATAATACACACACATAAACACACACACACACACACACACACACAAAGAAAAACAAGTAGAATAAAAAAAATAGAATATAAAAGAGTTGGGTTAAGAGTGGGTTTCTTAAGTAGTGGGGTTATACGAGCCTGTTTAAATGTTGAGGGAAAAACACCGGTGTGAAGGGATGTGTTAACGATGTGACAGGTACAACAGCAGGAGAAATGGCTTGAAGGAGATGGGATGGAATAGGATCAAGCGGACAAGTAGTAGGATGATTGGAAATGAGAGACTTCTGCCCTTCTGCCTCAGAGAGTGGAGTGAAGGATGAAAACGAGTGTATGTTTGCAGGTAAGATGTGTTTGACAGTTTGTGGTGTGACAAATTGTGCACTGAGGTTTGTAATTTTATTAATGAAGAATGTGGCAAAGTCGTCAGCTGTTAGGG